CGGATCGGCTGCTTCGCGTCCTCCTGGTCCCTCGCGACGGCCCGGCTCAGTTGCGGCTGAATCCCATCCTCGTCGCCACTGTTATGTAGTGGGTAGCCGCATGGATGAACGACCGACAACGACGTGGTGCATAGCACGCTTTATTAGTACAGAACAAGACAAGCGATAAACGGCCGGCAGGCCAACTATATACACGCCTGGGGACCGCCCCTGGTCACCATTGGTGGGTTCAAATCTCCCGCCACGGATCCCATTGGTTCCCCAGTGGAGGGGCTAATGAAGCTTGGGCATATGCGCTGACCTCCGGTGGCGGTCAGCGGACACTACACCCAGGACCCCAGTCTATCACCTTCGGTGGCGGTCAGCGGACACTACACCCAGGACCCCAGTCTATCACATTTTCATTGGTTTTTAGACTGTTTTTCTCTGTTTTAAGGAGTCTCAAAGCAGCTTACAATTGCCTTCCCTTCCCATCCCAACAGGCACCTTGTGAAATAGGTTGGATTGACAGAGTTATGAGAGAACCATGACTGGCCCAAGGTCAACCCAGCAGGCTTCATGTGGAGGTGTGGGGAATCAAACCCTCTTTTCCAGATTACGGTCTGCCTCTCTCTCTCTCTCTCTCTCTCTCTCTTCTCTCTCTCTCTCTCCCCCCCCCCACATCTTAGCTCCTCCGATACACTCTCACTCACCATTAAGGTTGCCAGCCTCCAGGTGGCGCCTGGGGATCTCCCACTTTTACAACTGATCTCCAGCTGACAGAGATCAGCTCCCCTGGGTATTTTTCATATGTGAGTGTGTGTGCGTACCTGGAAGTCATGGCGACCTCTGGTGACTGACCCCTACTGAGGGGGGGGAGGATATTCAAGAGGTGGCTGAATAAAGCCAGCCCCTGCCTCCCAACTGCTGGTATTCAAGGGAGGTCTCCCATCCAAGTACTTGCCAGAGTCGACCTTGCTTAGTTTCTGAGATCTGACGAGTAAACACCAATTTACCCTGAGGAACTCAGGGTAGCATACACATCTCTCATCTCCTCATTATGTCCTCATAACATCACTCTGAGATAGGTTAGGTCGGTGGTTCCCGACCTCTTTGAGTTCATGGGTACTTCTGGAATTATTAACGTAAGGTGGTAGGCATCAGTGACAAAATGGCTGCCATGGGAGGTGCAGCCATGCACACACACAGAGGAAACCCGAATTGCCAGGGAGACGGATAACTTAAAAATATATACTTGAGAAAAGGAGTGAGAGAAAATAAAAGCTATACTGTGTTGGCAGCTGCCCCCACAACATCGTTTTAATCTGAACAGCCAATCAGATCACTGGCCAATTAGAGACGCTCCTGAGCAAGAGGGCCCCCCCCAGCCTTACCCACTTTATAAAACACTGGGTGAGCACCAGAAGAAGTGTTGGTGGGTGTCATGGTACCCCTAGGCACCATGCTGGGGGGGACACCTGGGTTAGGCTGAGTGAGAGAGAGTGAAAGTGGCCTAGAGAAGATGTTGCCGTCCTACTGAGGGAAATTTTGGTTACCTTCATTCTAATACCATGTAAAATGCTAATGTTCTTGTCTCCCCTTCCTGTCCCTCTCCTTTTGAATGGTTTCAAATGTAAGCGATTCTGGAAGGGGCTTGTTCTATTGTTATTCCCTGTATAGTACATACTACAAATTTAAGTGCTTCATAATGAGTAATACATAATAGCCCCCCCCCCTTGTAACTGTCAAACAAGCAGAAGTGCTTTAAGGTATGACTAACCACAAACTTGCACTCAAGCCAAGAGATTTACAAGCGGTGTTTATTGGAAGAGGGTTACATAGTTGCTAACACATGGCTAAAGGGTGCTGTTAAAAAAACAACAGCAGCCCCCCTGGAAATCCACTGGAGTTACATCCTTATGATGATCAGCTTCCTGCGCTGATCCTCCATGGTCTTTAAAGCAAACTCAACAGGCAAGGAGGACACGGACGTGGAGATTCTATTCTCACAAGACTGGTGGGCCCTATACTGTAAGTGACTTCCTCATCTGACACTCCTGGTGGCAAACAGATCTCCTTGGTGACTGTTGAGTAGTTGTACTCCTTTCCGTGGCAGGTCTTTAATTCTTCTTCATGTTCAGCGGACACTTTGACTTTCCCGTCTTGCACTCTCACTGATATGTCCTCAGGGTCATAACCTTTAATGTCCATCAAAGCCAGAAGCTTTGGACGAGTGGATGATTCCAGCATCTTAGTAACCCTTCTTCGAATCCTGCAATAAAGAAGCAAGATTTCAGAATCCCACTGACTGACTGACTGATTGACTCACTCACTCACTCACTCACTCACTCACTCACTCACTCACTCAGTCACAGTGTTTCTACCCTACTTTTCTCCCTGAAGGAACCCAAAGCAGCTTACAATAAACACCATATAAATAAGCCAGTAATAAGCTAAATGAATAGCATACCCTTCAACATTTTATAACACTTAAAATGTTACATATAATTTGCATGTGCCTGGAGGTTGAAGCCAATCACATACAGGTAGGGAAATACATCTCTTCATAGGTGACTATGTCTTGAATGGCAATATTTTGGCAATATAATAATACTAGGAAAAAGGTCCGTTGTGGAAATAAATACAACGGCCTCTAGAAAGAGGCTCTGGGCGGTTGCCCCGGCCTTGGACACTCAGTGTCAATTTGCTGTGGCAACCTCAGCAGGGTATAATGACACTGAGTCCACCATTTTCTCCAGAGGAAGTGATCTCTGCTACCTAAAGAACAGTTGTAATTTTGAGTAATCTCCAGCCCTTACCTGGAGATTGGACACATTTTACCTCAGAACAGCAAAACTGTTTAGAATGTTAGAGGCAAAAGCCAATCAAGTTGCATATGCAAATGACCTCTGTGTTCCGAGGCAGAGACCAATGAGGCTGCATATGCAAATCACCTCTGTGTTCTGACTGGCTATGGGGGGTAGAGGATTAGCAAAATGTTTAGAATGTTGGAGGCAGGACTCAGGCAAAGCAGCTAGTGGTTTGATTGAGGTTTACAAGATTATGCATGGGAAAGAGCAGGTAGAGAAAGAGGTACTTTTCTCCCTTTCTCACAATACAAGAACTCGTGGGCACTCCATGAAATTGCTGAGCAGTCGGGTTAGAACGGATAAAAGGAAGTACTTCTTCACCCAAAGAGTGATTAACACATGGAATTCACTGCCACAGGAAGTGGTGGGTGCTACAAGCATGGACGTCTTCAAAAGGGAATTAGATAGGCATATGGAGCAGAGGTCCATCAGTGGCTATTAGCCACAAGGTATAGATAGGGGCTCTGGGGCAAGTGATGCTCTGTCTTCTTGGTGCTTGGGGGGGCCAACAGTGGGAGGGCTTCTAATGTCCTGGCCCCACTGTTGGACCTCCTGATGGCACCTGGTATTTTTGGCCACTGTGTGACAGAGTGTTGGACTAGATGGGCCTTTGGCCTGATCCAACATTGGTGTCTTTTATGTTCTTATGATAGGGAGACCCTCTGAATGACAGAACGAACTGATTTTGGAGTGTGTGGAATGTTCTAGAGAAGTGCCACCACCATTCGGCTTTTATTTATAAGGGAGATATGCCATGTTTGAAGCTGTGCTCAGATTCAGGGTAATTTCATAAATTACAAAAAAATTATTTCCCCCTATTACATTATAATACGGAAAGCAAATACAGGACATAGAAACCATCCATTTTAAATGTTAGTATACGGCCTGGATCAGTGTGGTTATTTTATTCCATTTACAATGGGGATTCAAATGCCAGTATTAAATTGAGTAAAGTGTTTATAGATAAAAATACACATTGGGATTTATTTGGCCTGTTGCCAGCTACTTGCGCATCACGCTGTAACTCACCCTTCCTCCAGGGAACTATGAGCAGTTCACATGGGGTTGCTGTTTTTATCCTCACAACAGCTCTGTGGGTCAAACTAGATACGACAATGTCCCCAGGTCTGACCTGTGGGTGCTGCCACCATTTTAAAGTGATTTAAAGGTGCCTGTAGTGCAGCAGGCAGAGGTGCTCTTGTCTTCCCTCAGTGTTTTCAAGTGCCAAAACAGCTGCACACTTCCCCACAGCTGTTCTGGCACTTCAAAAGATGTAAGGGAAGGGA